CTGCCAGAAGGAGGGTAATTTCAAGATAGAAAAGCTAGTGTACAGGAAGAAAGGTACAAAGAAAATAGAAATTGTGGGCAGAAGTTTGAGTATTGATGACATTAAACAAAACAATATGGTCTAACAGAAAGGAGAAATGCATATTTAAAGAAGCCACAACAGTAACCTGTACGTTAGGAGGGGACCATATAAAGCAACAGCCCCCCAGAGTCCTAAAAGCAAGGTGGTAATGAGCTTGGTCTCCTTTGATTGTAAAATTGTGCAAATATTGTCCACTCTAAGAGACAAAGAGAAGGAAATAATAAAATAATAAAAATCTAAACAGTCAAGAAACGAGAAAGAAGCATAGAATGTGTGCAAGGAAAATAAACAGAAGATAGCATGGTACCTTTATATGAAAATACATCGCAGTGTGTGAATTCACTGTTCCAGTTCAAGTGAAAAATTGTCAGACTTGACTGAAAATGTCTTAATGCGCTATAAACAAAGGCTTACCTTAAAAAAAAAAAGGTGTAGAAATGTTGAAAATTAAAATGTGGGAAATCTCCAAGTGTGGTGATATATACCTTTAATCTGTGCACTAGGGAGGTAGAGGTAAGTGGATTTCTGTGAGTTTGAAGTTGGCCTTGTTAAACAGAGAGAGTTCCAGGGCAGCCGGGGCTACATAGAGAGACCCTGTCTTCAAGAAAGAAAAAAATAGAAAAATGCATATGTCATGTGTATGTTTTTATCAGACAGACTAAATTCAACACAACCTTATTAACAATAAAAAAGCCTCCTATAAAGACATGTTATGATGTGTATTCATCCAGTCATGTAGCATTAAAATATGTCAAGTGAATGTTTAAGAAAGAGAAAGGAAAGGAAAAATCGAAAAATTCACATAATAGTGGGAGATTTTCTAGATTTGTGTGGCTAATACCATAGGCAGACACAATACTAAGAGATGTAAACAAAGCCACCACTTAGCTTGCCTGGATGGACACTGAACACCTACAGGATGAACGCACCTGCTTTTGAAGCACAGCATTCCCCAGCCCTGCTCATGTTCCAGTTCATAGCGTATGGAAAGGAAGACACAGCCCAGTGCAAGAGTTTGGATCCATTTACAGTGTTTCTCTGACTATGGTGGAACTAAGCCAAAAATAAATACCAAAACTACAGCTCCCCAAATCATGATATGCCTGGAAATTAAGAAAAATGTTTCTAAATAGCTGATAAAAACAGACATCACCATGGAGCTTAGAAAACGCTTTGAACTGAGAGATCCTGAAAGCACAGATACTAAAACGTGTGGGGCATAAGGAAAGATGGGAATCTTACAGCCTGAATTGTTTGTTTTAGGAAATAAGACAAACCTCAAGTTAATTAGCTGGGCAGATATCACAAGAAGCTAGAAAATGAACAGCAAGAGAGTTGCAGGGTAGAGTCCATAAAAAGAAGAAAAGAAATTGGCGAGACAGAAAACAAACATTTAGCAGAGAAAAATCAATACTCCACGAGTTGGCTCTTTGAAAAGACTAACAAAATAACAAACCTTGCCATCTTATGCAAGAAAAAAGAAAAGGGCCCAACATTAGGAATGAGAGGGACCCACGTTGCAGATGGTGCAGATGTTAAATACTTAAGATAAGGTTGTGATGAACTTTATGTCAGTAAATTGAAAAGTTTAAACGTAATGGGGAAAATTGTGAAAAAATACGCAACTTAACAAAAATCATAACAGAAAAATGAAAAATCTGAGTCATCTGCTAACCAGTAAGGAGATTAAACTAGCATTAGAGACATTTCATACAAATTATAGTCCTGCCTCATAAGACTTGACTGATGAGGTACAGCCTAAGGGCAGAGTGCTCGCACTGGACAACCAGGACAGAGAGGGGGAGGAGAGAAGGAGGAAGCTGAAAGGGAGAGGGGGACGAAAGGAAGGAGAGAAGGAAGGAGTTCAGTCCTTCACGCCGTCCTTTTAGAATATAAAGGAGGTGGGTGTAGCCTTGGTAGAGAAACCTGACTAGGAGAACTACAGACATGTCTTCATCTCTAAAAATAAGTATCAACCAGAACCCATCCATACACACAAAGGTAAGACAAGGCCAACATGGTGGCACACGGCTTTAATTCCAGCACTCAAAAGGCAGAGGCAGGACAGTATCTGTGAATTCCAGGCTATGTAGTGAGTGTCAGGCTAGCTTGGTATACATAGTAAGTTCCAGGCTAGTCAAGGCTACAGAGTGAGACCCTATCTCAAAGAATTATGTGCATAAACAAATATTTAAATACACTAATAAATCACACTTCATTTGAGACTTAAGAGATGGCTATAAATGGTTTAAAGCACTAACTATTCTTACAGAATCTTGCAGGTCTCATTTCCAGTACCCACAACTGCCTGTGGCTCTAGCTCCATGGCACCTAATGCCCTCTTACGGCTTCCACAGGCCCTTGCACACACATGGTTCTCATATTCTCCTACAGGCTCTCTCTCTCTCTCTCTCTCTCTCTCTCTCTCTCTCTCTCTCTCCCTCTCTCTCTCATACACACACACAAACAAATAAATCTTAAAATAATAATAAGATATCTTGCCTTAACTGAAATTGTTTCAGGAATGCAGTGTTTGTTAGTTTGTGATTAGAAAATTAATCAGAAAGCTGGAGAGATGACTCAGTGGTTAAGAGCACTAGCTGCTCTTCCAGAGGACCTGGGTTCAATTCCCAGCACCCATACGGGGGCTCACAATTGTCTGAAGCTGCAGTTTTTAGAGTCAACCTTATTTCATTTAAGCCTGTCTTTTTTTCTTTCAGTTGAAGCTGTGACGCATGGCAGGGGGTAGGACACATGCTCTCTCCTGCTGGTAGACTGCCTTTCTGAGCTCTGGCAGGCAGATTCTTAACTTTCTTTTTTATTTTAACTTGTAAATCATAAAATTAGGAGAATTTCTGGATCCTCTCCTCTGTTCTGTAGACTGTGTGAGGCTAAATTTGCTCTCTACAGTTACTCTTGCTCCTGCTTGCCTTTTACCCGTAGGTGGGTCAGATTAGCTGGCTACTGGGCGCACGTGGCGCCTCAATCTCAGCGGTAACTTGGTGATTCTTGGGCCAAAAGTCATTTTTCCTTCACCTTTTCTACTCATTTAGCAAGCACTAAAAGTTGCAATTTTGCATCTATTACGCTTACAGATTTTCAATAACTCTACCATTGTTCCTGCTCCATTCTCACTCCCTTTAGTTATCAACATATATAACTGAATATTTTTTCTTACCTTATATTTAAGTTATTTAAAAATTTTTACTCCCAATTTAACTGTCCCATTTTGTTATCTAAGTGCAGATTACTCATGTATCCACCAATTTTTTTCTGACGGGTTCCTCACGTCTGGTCATTTCTTCCTTGTTTTCTGGGGTGCGCGGATCAGCCTCACATTCCCTTCTGTCCTTTCTCCAGTTTCTCTTGGGGTTTAGCGGTCAGCATTCACGGTCTCCCTCATCTTGTCCTTTCTCAGGCTTTTCATGGAGTTCGGCAGGCAGCACCACATTGCCTTTCATCTCGGGGTTTAGTGGTCAGCCCCACGTTGGGCACCATTATGTCAGGGCCTGGTTCTAGCCCGGACCATAAATTATTTCTCTAGACCAGACTCCAACATAAACTCTCTCTCTTGGCTGGCACGGAGGAGACAGAAATAAAGACACAACTCACATGGCTTAATTGGGAGGGAGATTCTCAGTGGTCCCTCATGAAGTCTTGGGTTCACATCCTGAAGAATTCCCCTCGTTTATTCCCCAAACAGCTTTTATACCAACACATAAACCGAGCAGAAAAATATACCAGACCTGTCTCCTAGGTAAATGGCGTTTTGTCACGTCCACATCTACCTGTCTGCTGTGCATGCTAGCTGTCATGTAGGCTTGAATCAGCATCTCTATAAGGCATCCTTCAAATTACAAAGAAAGGAGCAACAACATCCTGACATTTTGTTGGGGCAGTGATAGCCTGTCTGCAGGGCTACGTGACCACCTCAAGTGTGCCCTGTGGCTTCAGAGTCTGGCTGCCACACCATATAGAAATATGGGCCTACAGTAACACTGCCCAATGGACTAGGCCTCCCATATCAAATGTTTAATCAAGGAAATGTCCCACAGTCCAGTGTGATAGTTTATAGCAAGCTTTTTTTTCTTGTCAGACTGTCCTGGACTGCCACACCACAAATAATGACATGGAAACTTATTTATTAATTATGAAAGCTTGGCTTTAGCTTACGCTTTTCCCCAACTAACTCTTATAACTTAAATTAACCTGTTTTTATTAATCCATGTCCTACCACGTAGCTTTCGCCTTTCCTCAATACAGCACATCTGACTTGTTGTGAGTCTGCTGGCAAAATCTACATGCCTAGATTCCTCCTCCTCTTCCTCCCTCTCCCTGGGAATACCACCTACCCTCTCCTGCCTAGATTCGTCCTCCTCTTTCTCCCTCTCCCTGGGAACACCACCTACCCTCTCCTACCTAACTATTGACCACTCATCTTTTTATCACAGCAATCACAGTGACACTTCTTCACAGTATAGAAAAAGATTATCCCACAAAGAGGCTTCCTCTTCCCTCTAGTTTGTTGCCAAAGACTACCCAGCATTCCCTCCCTTTGTTTTCCAGCCCAGAATCCTCTTTTTGGGATAAGACTAAACAGGTACAATGCCCTGCAGAAAGGCACCTCATGATGTTCATCAAGCATACCCTGATGCTAACTGTCCTATGATCTGCTGCCCTAGCCCCCACCTCACAGCTTCCTCTCAATAAAGTGCCACAAGTTGTTGAGGACACTAGAGGGGTAGCACAGGCTCACTAAGGTAGTAACCTGGTCCTTGCTTGCAAGCCCTAGGTCCACCAGGAGGCCTTGTCTGCTCACATGCAGGATGAGGTATAAACACTGAGCGTCGGCCTATGCTGTGCTGCCAGGTAGAGAGTGTCTTTCCTCATGCATGGCGTCCCCATTTTTCCTTGCCTAGGAATGTACCAGGTGGTCGAGGGCATCATCTCACCTGTTAATGACAGCTATGGAAAAAAAGACCTGGTGGCCTCCCATCACCGAGTAGCCATGGCCCGACTGGCCCTGCAGACATCTGACTGGATTCGGGTGGACCCCTGGGAGAGCGAGCAGGCACAGTGGACGGAAACGGTGAAGGTGCTGAGGTAACAGGAGTCATGTCTTTTTGTAATAACAAATGCAGACTGGAAGGATGGGACAGATTGCTGAGGTGACCCCAGCCAGAACTTCATAGCTAAGACCAGGGAAATGCCTCTGCTTCCAGGGAGAGAGAGCTGCAGAGTCACCTTTTCAGAGGGGTCCCTGGACAAAAATAAATAAGAAGCTTCTGGCTTTGGGGACATTCTTAATTCCAAGGACACCAGTGTCAGGCCCATTGTTACCATTTAGCACCTCCGTGACCTTAAACATGTGACTTAACCTCTCTGAGACTTCTTTATCACTTGCAAAATGAAGACAGTATAATTGAATGAAGATTTTTAAAACAACTTCCTGTCCTAGAACCAACACATTGCCTTTGGTACCTGGGGCCTTGAACTTCTTGTCATTGATAAATTTGAAAACTGAACCTATATAATAACCATCTTTTCTTCTTGTTTGCTAAACATAGACTCTAATGTAAAAGGGAAGGGCTTATTTTAAGAGCATAGATAGTTAATCTAGATTATCTTTTGCCTTTTGAATTCTTAGTAGTGTTCAGCATAGTCAGCACAACCATTTGAGATCCCTGGACCAGCCCCGCGTATTAGGGCAGCAGGTCCCTGCCCTGGTTGTCAGAGGGGAGTAAGGCTGCCTGCCTCATGACTGGTTACAGGCTGCTCTGCTAGAAGGCACTGTAGGGCTGTGACCTGTGCGATCGTAGAGGTTCTACACCCTCTGTTAGGGAACGGACCACAGAGCATTCAGCAGCTCCAGTGCCACCTTAGAACCTGCTGCCAAACTGATAGGACAAGTGTTTAGTAACCGTGTGTATGCATGACCTCTTTTTTTTTAACCCTTCATTGGGATAAGCCAACTCTCACACTCACACCTGCACCTAGTACATCCTTTTAAAATGTGCCTTTCTCATCACTCACTTCTCCAGGCTGAGAACAGAAGCAAGGCAGCAGATTACCAGCAAACCACTTAGCTTTAGTAAGTACTCAGTGACTAGGCCCTTCTCCCTCTCCCTATGAGAGCCACAGTTGCCTGGGACGTAGGCTTTGAAGCCACATTTGACTGAATGACTTGAAAGTGATTTAGCCTCCCTGAACCTCAGTTCCTTCCCCAGTAAAATGAGAATAGCAGCACCTAACTCACAGGACACCATGTGGGTTTGATGAGATGGTGCAGGCAAGTCAGCTGGTGGGTGGTAGGTGCCAGCTAATGCCACCTGCCCTCCCTACAGCTCTACTGCTGGCTGTGGTTTGCCCTCAGATCCAGAAAACCATTCACAGACACAGAGGTGATGGCGTAGCAATTCCGTGTCACTACTACTTCTGCTGCAGATTGCCCGTGTGAGCAGAGCCACTACCAAGCACTCATTCTCCTCTTCCCCTATGCCCTTTGCTCAATGCTTCTGGACACTGGACACACAGGGGACATCCTAGGTCCACCACCCATGTCCACCCACCCCAGAGGTTGCTGTCTCACCAGTCTAGGTGGCTAGGGGAATGATCCAGTATTTCAGCTGCTCCTGATGGTTCTAATAGCTATCTAGGCTTGAGTCCCACAGTTTCAGTCACTGAATGAGAGAATCAGGATTCTGATCAGTGTTGAGATCCACTTAAAGAGCAATTGACACATGGTCACAACCATGGCTGCCAAAATCACTTGGAAAACTTTTATTAAGGTTCTCTCCCAGGCCAGGGCGTTCAGCTCGCTGGCACGGACACTAACCACAGGCATCATTTCAGGGTCCCAGATGATTTATGTTGTGCTGTTGTGCTTGAGACTTAGCCAACAGAGTCAACAGTTTCTTTCAACAGATAGCTGATTAAGACGTTTTTAAAAGGTTAAAAATCAGGCTAAAATTGTAAAGTCAAGTGGTTTCAAGATCGTGGTAGAACTCAGCCCGAACACCTGCTGCATTTAGTGCCCTCTTGATGTGGTCACAGTGGATTTACAGCATGGCATTCCAAAGGTCATTGTGCTATCAGCTCTCAGGGACTCAGTGGAGACCCTGTATTCTGATGATGTTGGCATTTTTGCCAGTGCCATAAAGTCTCGGCCAACTTTAATGAGAGAGCCTTTGGTACTGGGCGTGTCACTTTTTACTTACAGTGGGAAATAACTAAAAGAAACCGTTTAGTGAGAAATCGTCTTTTTCCTCACACTTTGAAAGTTTTCAGCCCTCATCTAGCGTTGCTATCTCCGCCACATCGTGGGGTAGGACATCAAGGTATCAAAGTGGAGGGGTGTGGCAGAGCCAACTAACTCATCTCCCGGTGGCCAGGAAGCAGAGAGACAGGAGCCCAGAATAAGGCCCAGGTCCCCAAGGTCATCTCCCCAAGTGACCTTCTTTCTCCAACTAGACCTTACCTTCCAGAGCTTCAGTCATCTCCTAAGAATGCCATCAACTCACAAACAGCAGCCGGCACTGGTTAGGTGAGAGCCCATCTTTTAGTGACTGGATCTACAGCTGAGACCTAAGCCTTCAGCACGCAGGCCTTAGAGAGTACACTTGGTCACCAGCCACAACAGTAGCTTTTCCCCATGTTGTGATAAAGGCCTTAGTCACAGTGCCGCTTCATGAAGTCCGTCCTCCACCCACATCACCTCACAAACCCACTGCAAACATGACCTCATGTCTTCATTTTACACATGAGAAGCTGGAGGCTCAAAGATGCTCAGATGATCACAGTCACACAGCAAATAAGGAACGAAGCACCAGCCCCTAGGCTCTGAAACCATACCAGAGCCAGCCTCTAAAACAGAGGTTCTCAACCTGTGGGTCATGGCCCCTTAGGGGGTCAGATGACCCTTTCACAGGAGTCACCTAAGACCATCAGAAAGTACAGATATCTACATTATGACTCATAACAGTAGCAAAATTACACTTATGAAGTAGCAATGAGAATAATGTTATGGTTGTGGGTCAGCACACCATGAAGAACTAACTGTATGAAAGGGTCGCAGCATTAGGAAGGTTGAAAGCCACTGCTCTGAACGGTGATGCTGGCTGGGAGTGTGAGGTGACTGGTCTCTCTTGCCATAGCTACCCTTTGCTGGGGCTTCCCTGGGCAAGCAAGAAGCCATGCTATTAGGGTCAGTTTAGAGACCTAGGACTGGGCACACTGGCATACCCAAAGAGCCAGCCAGGACCACTACCACCCCAAAGAACAGAGTCCTGAAAGTAAATGGCCTCTCTCAAACACAGCCGTAACAGTGCTCCCTCGAATACAGGGACAGTGGAAGATAAATTGGCTCACACGAGAGTGCTGAGGTTACCTGTGTTTGGTGAGAAAAGGAAGTGCCGGAATCTCAATTTGAAGATAGATTGCTTAAAATTGAGCATGTCAAATTTGCATAAGTCTGATCATCCCTAACATGCTCTGTGACTTCGCTTGGATTAACTCCCTTCATCTTCATAACTACCCATTGTGGGTGGCACTGCCGTCACTCCCCATTTGCACACGAGGACCCAGCCGTGCTGACTGAGACTTGAAGTCATTCATTAGGGTGACAGCCGGCAGTGTGGGGGGTTGGGATTCAATCCCAGCTGTCTCTCTCCAAGCCCAGGCTCTTAGCCACCACACATAGCATCTTAAAACACAACTTTATGATCAGAGTGTGTTCTGGAGCCAGCTGGAGCCACACCTTGCCGGGACTTACTATACATAGCTCATTTACCTTCAGAATTCTGAAAGCAGGCATTACCACTTATTACTTTCCAAAGGAAAATGCATGTTCAAACTTAGATTCCCCCCCCTTGTTTTTTCCGGCTTTTCTGGGGGGGGGGGGTTGTTGTTTTGTTTGTATTTTGGTTTTTTGAGACAGGGTTTCCTCTGTGTTGCTCTGGCTATCCTGGAACTCACTATGTAGACCAGAGTGGCCTCCAACTCACAGAGATTCACCTGCCCTTGCTTTCTGAGTGCTAGGATTAAAGGTGTGCACCACCACCTGGCTTCCATCAGTCTGCTTTGAGAGCCGCTGCCTTGGGCGCCCACTCAACACTAACACCTGTGTTTCCAATAGGGCATTGCTGAGATGCACGGCGGGGCAGCGTCAGGCTGCTGCTTCCACCCAGGTTGTGCAGAACGTGGTAAAGTGAACGGAATAGGACTCTCTGTGGCATGTGCTTCCTGTCTTACCCCTGGAGCGCTGTCTGACACGTGGTGGATCCTCCATATTCAGGGAGTGATCTAAGATGTGTAGGAGCAAGTCTTAAATTCTGAGACACTGGGATGACGTTGAGGGTCTAGAATACAGCACACCTGAGCCCTTGTGTTTACACAATAGGCACCATCACAGCGAGCTGCTCAAATCTTCAGCCCAGATGGAAGACTCCAGGAAAACACCGTCAGCCTCCGCAGGTGGGTGCCGACTCCCTTGTCTACAGTGGGATTCAGGTGAAGACTGATGAACCTATGGGGTTTGTCCAACCCTCTCAGCTTGAACTAAAATTTGAGACCTGCCTGGTAGTGTATGGATATAGATAGATGGATGGATGGATGGATGGATGGATGGATGGATGGATGGATAGATATTGAGATATCTCCAAGATCAAAAGGTGAGAGAGAGAGAGAGAGAGAGAGAGGAGAGAGAGAGCTCTCCAAAGTCAAAAGGTCGGTCAGATAGATAGGCAGACGGATGGACTGACGAATGAATATAGATATCTCCAAGGACAAAAGGTCAATTCAGACACCCTGCCTTCCCCATTCCTACACCAACCCCATTAATTGTGCTAATTTGAGATTTACTGCCCACAGGAGTTTAACCACCCTGTGACTTGTGCTCGTGACACGAATTAGTGAGGGCCACACAGGGACAAACTGGTGACTGGTGCTGGGGTTCTTTTATAAACCTTAGCCTTTGAGTTGAAAAGGATAAAGTTTGGATGAAAGACTAACAGTTCCTAGCAGCCACTCAAAGAAAGAAGCTTAATTTTAGGGGAGCTTGAGGCTCTCTTGGGTTTTCTTCTTAAACTGGAAACCCTGAGCTCTGCTTTCTCTTCTCCTGCTTGGTAGAGGCAAGTCCTGAGATTTCAGAGTATGCAAAGCCCGGTGTCAAGGGTCGAAGGCGTTTCTCTCCTGCAAATACTCAGGAGTGTCGGATGGGCGCGGGAGGAAAGGATGGAACGTAAACTGGGAGTCACTGACCCCACTGGCTGAAATTCCAGCAGGCCAGATGCGTAGTTCAGGATTCCCAACTCCAGTTGGTGAACACTTTCATAGGAAAAGGGTTCAAGATTTCCAAGAAAGGTGCTTTCCACCATGTCTCGCTTTTGTTGCTGTTTGTGTTATGAAACCAGATCTCACTATGTAGCCCTGGCTTGCCTTCACAGAGAGCTGCCTGGCTCTGCCTTCCCAGTGCTGAGATTGAAGGCATGCACTAACATACCTGCTGCCCACCCCTGTTTTAAGAACTATTTTATTAATTCTCAAGAACTTCATAGCTTGTATCTTGAACATTTTTATGCCCCTTACCATCTCCTCCCAGATCTACTCCCCCATTCCATACCCACCCAACTTTTTGTCCTCGTTTTTTTTAAACCCATGAAGTGGAGCTAGAGAGTTGTTTCAGGCATTAAGAGCACTTACTGTTTATGCAGAAGACTGGGATTTGGTTCCCAGCACCCATATGACTGCTCACAACTGTCTGTAACTCCAGTTTTAGGGGAAGTGATTCCTTTTCTGACCTCAGTAGGCTCTTTCACACACATGGTACACATACATACACTTAAGCACATATATGCACATAAAATAAAATTCTTTTAAAAACGTCAAGCCCGTTAGTGATGTCCATGTCGTCTTCCATGTGTAGTCATCCACTGGAGCACATTAGACTACCAGGGGCCACACCCTTATAGACCACCAAGTCTCCCTGTCAATAGCTTCTCAGTTAGGCATGGAACTGCGTGCCCGCCCGCCCCTCCATGCTGACGCTTGCACAGGACTTGTGCACACAGTAGCAGCACCTGTGAGTTCATGCGCGTCTGCCCTGCCGTGTCTGCCAAACCATCCACTGCCTCTGCTTCTGTCAGTTTTGCTGCCCCGTCTTCTAAAATGAACCCTGAGTCTTGGGAGGAGGGGTGTCTGGTAATAGATATTCCTTTTAAGGCTGAACATTCCACAGTCTCTTACTGTCTGCGTCTTGACCAGTTGTGAGTCTCTGTGTTAACCACCATTTTCTGCAAAACAAGCTCCTCTGATGAGGGTTGAGAGATGCACTAATCTATGGGTATAATGAGACACCATTAGGAGTTGGTTTGACACTGTGTCCTATTAGCAGAGTAATAACAATAGCATCTCTCCTGACCTATCTGCCATAGGTAGTTTGCCCCCAATAAATACCTAGCCACACACACACACACTTTTTTTTTTTTACTTTTAATCTTGTGATAGGGTCTCACTTAAAGGTCAGCAACTTAATGAGACCCTTATATCCAAGGCAGGCCTTGAACTTGCAATCTGCCTGCCACAGCCCCTTGAATAGCTTAGATTGCAGGCCTGTACCATCAGGTCTAACGAACACAGAAGATTTTACAATGGCAGAAAATAAAAGCAACTAAGAATTTAAATATAGAGGAACACTGAGTAAATTACACTGTCTGCATCGAAAGAATCCGTACCAGAAGTTTCAAGGAGATGGAGAAACCCTGGGGAGGTGAGAGAGCCATCGTATGATAGTGTGTGCATAACTTCAGAGGGAAACAAGCGCAGTTCGTACTGCTGGTGTGTCTAACTCAATATGGAAACCTGCGAACATGCACCAAAATGTTGATGGCTGCGGAGCCCGGAGTCAACCTGATGGATTGCTGTTGTTGTTTTCAGTTTCCAACACTTACAGTTTCCATATGCTCCGTTGGAAACAGACATTTCATGTTCATCATCAGAAAAGGAAAAAATTAAAAATGAACATTTTCAAACAGGAAGGTGGGCTTTTCTCAGCATAAGCTTGGATTTTGATGGGACGGCGCATATGTTACCAGTGACATATTTATTTCTAAGGGGCACTTGGGGAGCTGTGTGTTTTATTGTACGTTCTCACAGTCTGTGGTGGCAGATTACATGCTGAACTCAGCACTGGTGGCAGCCAGATCTGAGCCTCACTGTCACCTCTGTAATTGACAGCCTCCTTGGACTCACCTGTCCTCACATGGATTGCTGTGATCCTGGCTGCTCGGTTGGCACACTGGAACAGGTGACACTCAGGGCCTTTAACAACAGCCTGTCTTTGGTCTGTAAGGGTGGCCCTGCCCTGGACTGGTAGGGCTGAGCCTGACTCAGAGGGCTCTCATTGTGTAAAAACAGCAAGTGCCCAATCTTGTGCCTATTTCACTGGGGATGCTTAGTTTGGGTGCTGACTGTCAAGTGTCATTCCTGGGTTTGTCTCTGTTGCCCTCCTATGTAGATATCTCGTAGTGTGCCGGCTGCATGTCATCAGCCATGGCTGTGCCGTACATCTCAGCTGACAGGCTTTCTCTCCACCTGTCACTTCCTGTCCCCTCCAGGGAGCCTTTACTTTCCCCCTCTTACATCTGAAGAAAGAGGCCCACCGGCAAGGTCACTTTCCCAGGGTCCCAAGAAATCTAAAATGTACACCCAAGACTGACTTGCCTTGAGATTGATGCTTGTCAATGCCCTCAACTTAGGACACCAAACACTCAGGCTCCTAGGTTCTAAGGTATTTTCCCTGCAGCTTGTGTGAGTTTAGCCCATCTGCTTTTCAGAGTCTGCTACATCAGAGTGGACTGCTCACCAAATACTCACAGACCTCCCACTTACATCACTGTGTGGCTGTCAGGCAAGTGACACTGGCAACCTTTATTCAGTTTTCATTGTTTATTTGGTGGGGAGTAGTGTCTGCACGTATGTCTGTACTCCATGCTCGTGCTGTTCCCACAGGGGCCAGAAGAGGGCATTGGATCCTCTTAGAACTGGAGTTAGAGACAGTTGTAAGCCATTCTATGGGTGCTGAGAGTAAAACCCTGGTCCTCTGGAAGAGCAGCCAGTATTCTTAACTGCCGAGCATCTCTCCAACCTCCAGCTTTTATTCTTGAATTACATACTTGGACTTGGACACTTGGACACTTACTTGGTCTGTAGCATATATATGAATGAAATTGAAGTTGCGGGCGGAGGCACATGTAGCCATGAGAGTTGTTCACTTCACTGTCTTGTCTCAGGGGATGACAGGGACCTTCCAGCCTCACAGACGTGCCTTTGATTGAGGGGCAGCGCTCAATCCTTTCTAGTCACAGTTCAAAGTGAATATTATTTCTTTCTATCAATATTTATGAATCCATGTCTAATGTGGAAGCTGAAATGTCAAAAATTTCGGCACAGAACCCACTAGGAGAACACATACACATAAATACACAAAGAGGGGGGAACAGTAGGAGAAGACAAAGTGTCTTGTCTATTCCATGACCTGTAGAAACAGCGGATATGCCCCAGGTCCCAGGAGATGCTGAAATCAAATGAGTATCATTGAGCCAGTTGTTTGAAAGGCCAAACCCTGGTCTCTTACTATCCTGCAGTGATTCAATAAATAAGAATTAGAGCAAATCCTCACAGCTGTTGGAAAATACAAACTCATACCAAATTAGTAAAGCGTGAGTTACTGGATAATTTGTAGCACAACTTTATTGCTTTAGAAATAAGGAGATAACTCATATTTATTAGATGGATATTTCTGCAGAGATGGAGAGATACGTGGGTAGGTAAATGGATTAGCAACTGAATGAAAAGTGGTTAAAACACAAACACTCTGCCAACCATGGTCCTGTCTTATTTGATAAACTCACTCAGTGCTAAAATAGCCCCACAAGGCGAGCACTGCTAACATGCCCATTTGAAAGTTAAGATCACAGGAGCCACCAAATAGTAGAACCAGAACCGAGCCTGAGACATTGGGGCTGCCTTGGCCACCGAGAGCCTTGCAGGCACTAGTCCCAGAGTGTTCCAGTGTTGTTGGTTAGACCAGTACTCTGAAGCTACAACATTGGAAAAGTCCCTTTGTGTGATGGTCTGCTGCTGTGGAGAGTCCCCGGCCCAGAGGCGGGGAGGCCAGTGTCAGTCCCACAGCAGCTGAACCCCCAGAGACTGCCAGCCTCTCTTCTTTCCTAAGGCAAGCCCTGCTTCTTTGTAAATCCATCCTCTGTGCATTACCGAAATCCTTCCAACATCTTGCTGTACCTTAGCAAACCCTTTATACCATGTTTTACCCCCAGTGTGTGGTAGCCTAGGATGTCTTCCTTGCCAAGTCTTCAGGGTGACAAAGATGGAAGCCAGCCTTTACCATCTTCTGGAATCAGTTTCCAAAAGTACCAGGGACACAGAGTGTGCTTCTAGCATGGCATGGCTTTCCTGTTCCAGATGAATGGTGTTGCTACTCAGCTAATCCCTTCCTTCTCTAGTGTTCCCGGGCTTCTTGTTCGTGGCAAACGTGCAGATTCTCACCAGCAGGCGGCAGCAGAACCCCGCAGCTACAGGTGCCCCACCCGGAAACTGGCTGCAAATTTGCATTGATTCAGCCTTCCCAGCTGAGGTCGTGAGCTCTCTCTTAGCCTCTGGGTGCCTTGCAAACCTTATATGTTTGATCTGAGGGTCACATGTTACTACACACATTGTGTCTAGTAGTATACCATGCTAAGAACACAAACATGTGTCAACAGTGTTGTTGGAATAGACTCCACAAGGCGGCCACACTGCCCTCTGTCCTGGAACTTTGTCATACTGCAAATGAAAGTGCAGAGGCCACCAGCTGGGACCGTAGAGACCGTGTTGTCTTCCAGAGAGCCTGTTGATGATGAAATGACGAAATGCCACGAGGGTTTGTATGAAAATGCTAGGTCCTCGGGGCTTATAATAACAAGGGCTGAAATGGATGGTGGTTGGTGACTTGTCCAGCGCTCACATCTTCTTGATTTGGGGACTTTAAAAGTCTCATCAGATAATGGACTTCTGGGGACAGCACGGTCTCCTCTGGGATGCTCCCTGCCCTGGTCCAAAGCAACCACAGACAGACCTCTGTAGTAGTAGCACTGAGCACTGAAAGGCAAAATCCTTTTTCTTGGCTTGACACTTTGCCAGTATTAAACAAAAGCGATGTTGCCGAAATCATGACTTATAATGTTGTTATATCACCTCAGATTCCTGTAACCTCCCTGGGATCCACCCTTGTTCTGCTGTGCTCCCCGAACTGAAACTGCTCTGTGGGGCGGATGTCCTGAAGACCTTCCACACCCCCAACCTCTGGAAAGACGAGCACATCCAGGAGATAGTGGAGAAGTTTGGCTTGGTGTGTGTGAGCCGGGGCGGGCATGACCCAAAAGGGTACATCTTGGACTCACCCATCCTCCGACAGTTTCAGCACAACATTCACCTGGCCAGGGAGCCCATTCAGAACGAGATCAGTGCCACATATGTCAGGAAAGCCTTGGGCCAAGGGCAGAGCGTGAAGTACCTCCTCCCTGACGCTGTCATCGCCTACATCAGGGACCATGGCCTCTATAGCAGTGACAGTCCCTGGAAAGGGAAAGGAAACGCTAGCTAGAGGGCCTCGTGAAGAATGGGCGGTCAAGGGCTTTGTTTTGCTTCGGGGGTCTGTGTTTCCCTTTCTGTTTGTTTGTTTGTTTTGTTTCTACCATGGTAATGCCATGGGTGACTTCCTGCTGCAGGAAGAGATTTTTTTTTCCTGTGGCTGGGACAGAGCAACTTAAATGGCTTGGCAAGTCTTCAGATTAGGCAAAACCTCTCTGTCTTTGAGGAGACCTACTTACTTGGTGCAAATGGTAATTAGAAGATGCACACTGATGATATTCTGAACACGGCAGGCCCCTGAGGGGTTGGGTCACAGTTGCCCTCGTGCATTAAAAAACAAACAAACAAAAAAAAACCTCAGACCAGGTGACCAGGTGCAGCATGGTGGTCTTGATTGGCAGGATTTGACAGGGTGCTAATTACTGAACAGGGGGCCTTTGCAACGTCTTTCTTTTAAACAGAATAATACCAAGTGAGGATTCAGAAATCTGGAAACAGTGCAGCATTGATTTCCAGTGTAGTCTCTTACCAACCATGGCCTGTCTGCCTATGGTGTAACTTAAAAAATTTTTGACCACGTTCTTTCTATTTTGTAGTCAAGCAATATGTGTAAGATTGTGTGTGTGTGTGTGTGTACATGAATATGAGGAGAAATCAGAAGGATCTCAGAGTTCCTGAAGATGGAGTTCTAGGCACTTGTGAGCCACCTGATGTGGGTGCTGGAAACCAAACAGTCTTATAGAGGAGCAGCAAAGGCTCTTAACCACTGAGCCATCTCCCCAGCCCCCCAAGCAATATTTTTGATACAGCAAGTATTTTTACACTGCTATCCTGATTTCTAAAGAGAAACTGAAGTAAAGCAGATGCCTGGCTGTTTTAGAAGCTCTTTTGAATGTTTTATGACTGCCTGACTGTTTGAATATTGGCAAAAGGATAAATAATAAATTGACATCAAAAAGTACTAATGAAAAGTTTCTTTTTTCTTTGTTATATTATTAATACCCAGTGTTCCAGCTGTTGCTCCTCTTTTTAGCTACTCTGAAATTTGCTCCTGTTCCAATCTAAGTGGCGTGGATTTAAAAGTTTGTATCCTAAGTACTAGAAGTAGAGAAATGTCTAGTCAGATTAGCACAGCCTAGAGTCGCCCAGAGGTCGTCTCAATTGAAGGATTATCCGGATCAGAATTTGGCCTGTGGATACGTTTTGGAAGCAGGTGTCTTGATAGTTAACTAATGAAGAAGTGTCCAGCCCACTATGGGCAACATCATTCCCTAGGCTGGTATTCCTGGTGCTGTATAAAAAATCTAGCTGAGCATGAGTTTAAGCAAGCCAGTGAGCAGCCTGCCTCCACGGTTTCTACTTCAATTCCTGCCTTGACTTCCCTTAGTGGCAGACTGTGTGACCTGGAAGTATAAGATAAAATGACCCCTTTCCTCTCTAATTTGCTTTTGGTCTGAGTGTTTGATAGCAGCAGCGGAGATGAAACTGGAGCCGGGAAGGAATGGCTTCTCAGCATAACCCAGTTTTCTAACCTAAAGCAGTGGACTGTGGTCTTGTTTCTGTGCACCCTAAAAGATGAGAAGAAAGTTTGGGATTTGCCACTCCACTCCTGGATTAATCTTTGGGAGTCTGCTCTTTGTACCTGCTGAAAGATTGGCACAGACTCCGAGTCTCCACTCTGTACTGGCCCATCTTTGCTGCATATTTAGTGACACAGGAAAACAATGGGGCAGACGAGGAGGATCTAATACCCCCTGAAAACTCAATACCCCCTGAAAACTTCCCTGTTTCACGGCTCAAATATGCATGTGAGCCTTGAAACAGGGAAGAGGAAATGCAGAGCACAGTGACCATGCTGTGAGGCCCTGCAGACTCTCTGCTGGATTGGGTTCTGGCCTCCAAGAGCCTTGCCCACTCAGGGAAATATGGAGCAAATAGCCTTGTCTAAAAACTACCACCACAGCAGTGATTTAATTTAAAAAAAAAAAAAAAACCTGCCACCACACATAGTAGCCCTTTAGCTCCTTCCACCGCTGGAGATGCAGGATCTTCAACTCCAAAGTGGAGAATTTGGTTAGACCTGCTCTAGACTTTCCAGCTCTAGTTTTCTTTTTCTTTCTTACTTAAACAAAAAAAAGGAAGAAAGAGATAGAGAGAAGAAGAAGAAAAAGGAGGAGTAGGAACGAGGAAAGAAATGAAGGAAGGAAGGAAGGAAGGAAGGAAGGAAGGAAGGAAGGAAGGAAGGAAGGACAAAAGAAAAGAATATAGTTTGAGCTTTGATTTTGAGGTTCTGTTTTGATTTGGTTTTGTTAGTTTGGGGTTTTTGTTCGACAAGGTTTCACTCTTATCCCAGAATGGCCTGGAACTTGCTACGTCAGCCATACTGCCTGGCCTTAGTTTTTCATCAATGCTCCTGTCTCAGCCTACCAAGTGCTGGAACTCCAAGCACACACACACACCCCCCCCAAAGTTTCAGTTTCTCTGCCCTTTTTTGAATCCAGAACCCATCTAGTCAGACTGGAAGCTTCCAAAGTTCAAGAAAAAAAAAAATCTTGTCATTTGCAGGTTAAGAGTTGCTATTACACTCTGGGGAGCTGGTTCCAGGAAGACTCTTGGGCCCCCTGCAAATGAACCAACAGAATCGACTTTCTAATGAGATTCATTGGCCTCAGCATCACTCACTCCAAGTGATCACTTGTTTTCTTTAAGATTTATTTATTTATTCATTTTATAGGTATATGAGTGCTCTATCTGCCGCATGCCTTTATGCCAGAAGATGGCATTAGATCCCACTAGAGATGGTTTTGAGTCACCTTGTGGTTGCTGGGAACTGAATTCAAGACCTCTCTCTGGAAGAGCAGCCAGTGTTCTTAACCGCTGAAGGTACCATAGGAACTACTTGGCACTCTAGTGGGTACCACCCTTTATCTGAACCACATTGCACCAACTGTTCTGTGTGGGTCAAGAAAGGAAAGATCAAAAGCCTACAGATGGTGAGTTAGAGAAGGGGTCCACAGTTTTGAAAAGGGGTCCTCAGCCTCAACAACAAACATTCTGGGCTGTGTAACCCTGCCCGGATAATTCTTTCCCATCCTGTGCATGGTAGGACTCCTTCCTGGCCTCTGTGCACAAGATGCTAGTAGCATCATTAGTAACTATAGCAACACAACTTCCTGATACATTTATCAAACATCCAGCACACCAATTCCAGCCGCAGCTCAGACAGAGCCACTGGTTCAAGGCTACGATGCAGATGTTGAGAAGAGTGGGGCTTCTTTCCTCTTTCTCATTGAAGACATCAAGACGCTGCAGTGTCCACCTGGAGCTTCTTTCAGAGAAGACTAGTGAGCGAGAGGTCCTCAACCGTGCATGAAGTCACGTTCATTCTAGGCGCACATTGTGCCATTGCAATGTGCCATTGCATAGGAATTGGAACACCACACCGCTGACTCCCAGGCACCCCAGCTCCCATTCTCTCTCCTCTCTCAGCACTCACAGTGCCTTACTGGACTAGGTTTTTTTACAGCCGAGGATTCCAACATAGCTGAGCCTTCTGTGCAGGCATCGAGGGCCTGACGAGTGGAGGCTCACCGCTGGGAGTTGATTGTTTCCTTTTTATTGAACTTCAGGAGTCATTTGTTCAAATCACTTTTATTGAGGTCCTCGTGTGTGCTAGGGGTGTAATGGTGAACAGACGTGGTCTCCATCCATAGGAAGCTTGTAGCACAGTGGAGAACCAGCAATCCAATGATCACAAGCTAACGTGATTGCCAAAGATGATGGGACTGCTAAAGACCACACTGATGTGCTGATGGCCAGAGACAGCAAGTTCTCTCTGATGCTAGCAAAGCTCGGGATTTGGCTTTCCACTTTCCAACATCCTAATTATATAGGTATCAGAGTTCCTGACCCTAGGCCCTTTTTTTGAAAGGGTTTCTCTGAACCTGTACAAAGAATAGACTCTCATGAAGTGGTTTTCCCTGGTGAAAGTGTTCCAGAGACTTTGGGATGGGTAGAGGAGGCAAGTGGTTTTGAAGAAGAATGGCAAGTGCAAAGAGCCTGAAGCAGAAGGGGCAAAATGGGCACCATGGAGACCTAGAGTCATTATTACCTCCCAAACAAGGCACCGGTTACTATTCTGCACCTGACAGCAGGTGCCCTGCATGCCATGGTCTCCCTGCCCAGCCTTTCCATAGGTTTAATAGCCTTTTAAGGCACGCCATCATCTCCCTGATCCATGTCTATATTGTGTAGTTTTCACCAAACATCAGTTATTTCTATAACAAAGCATAGTAAGACCTATGCTTTATATACATACATATGTGTGTGTGTGTATATATATATATATATGTTATGTATGTATACACATACACACACATATATCTTGATTTCTGTCACCTGCTCTGTCTCACTGATTCATGTTACCTTAGTAGCAGAAGGGAAAATATGTCCCACTGCTCTGCCCTGATGCATTTCCTGGCACCACCCTGTGCACTGATTTCACATTGCTCTCTGCTCCCTCAGGTGTCCTTGCATCTTGATGCCTGGGTATTTTGTTTGTTTTGCAAAAACAGAACAGTGGTTCAGACTCCTGAGTAAATAGAATTTCCAGCCTTAAATAAAGGTTCTCCTATGACACTATCCGACACCCAAATGAGAACAGTGCTGTATCTTTGCCTGGGGAAAGAAATTTTCATTTCTAATACCATCTGTGTCACTTGGGACAGAATGATGTGAAATCCCATTTCAAACCAATGGAGCTTCGGCTTTGCAAGGCACGTTTAGTAATTGGGTTAATACATAAATATATTTCCTTAGCTTTGTCCTCACTTTCCATGCTGTCAGTGTTGCTGCCCCTCCCAGTTGTAGAGGTCTTCATACATTATAGTATCCAGTGTCAGTCATAAAGTCATTTTCTTAGCCCAAAATCTGACATTGTAGATGCAGATATGAGTGACTGATAACTATATCGCTATAGTGATTCACACAGGCACCTGCCTCTGAATAGTTTAGTATTGTTTAACATTGCTCTTGACAGTGCAGGCTGCAGGGACTCTAGGAGGCACCCTGGAGTTCACTGCGACTTGTGTTTCTGAATTAGCAAACACTGCGTAAGTGGGAGTTGGAGTATGAACAAATGGTATGCTCTGGGACACGTTGGGGAAGCCCTGCATTACCTCCTGCTGGAACTGCAACGTGCCTGCATGTCCTGTGTCTACTGCCTTCTGTGCACCCTACATGTCACCTCCTGCTCTAGTTGCTTTTCTGTTGCTGTGATAAACACCGTGACCAAAAGCAAGTTAGAGGTGTGAAGGGTTTATTTCATCCTATTCTTCAAAGTTACAGCCCATCAGGATGTGACGTCGGGGAGGAACTCGAGGCAAGAACCCAGAGGTGAGGTGGCTTGCTATTCTATACAGCTTTAATTCTGACCAGTGAATGACCTCACAGCAGGAGGATGCTGCTGATCAGTGGGCTCACAGAATACACAGCAGGAACCATGGAGGAGGATGCTGGTCAGCGGACTCACAGAGTACCCAGCAGGAACCATGGAGGAGGATGCTGGTCAGCGGACTCACAGAGTACCCAGCAGGAACCATGGAGGAGGATGCTGGTCAGCAGGCTCACTGGCTTGCTGTCAGCCTCATGCTTAGCTAGCTGCTTTACACAGCCTGGGGAATAGCACCACCCACAGGGTGCTCAGCCTGTGTGTATCTGAGAACAATCAGGATAATTCTCACAGGCACGCCCATACCACACTCATCTCCACAGTTGTATTAAGGCTTCTTTTAGATGACTCTAGGTTGTCAAGTTGCCAAAGTCAACCAAGACACCTAATGACATTCAAAGCATCCTCAGCTTTTACCTTGACCAGTACAGTGACCAAAAGGGGTGTCCCATTTCACTTCTGGATCCTGCAGTCAGGATCTTCTTCATCTAACAAGTATGTGTGTACGGGAACATCCATGTGTGTGTGTTCAAACACAGTCATATTCCCTACTGGCATTCGTCCTGGAATAAGCCATTAAGAAAAATATAAAGATAAACCATAGACCAGGGGGAACATTTGCAAAATGTATGTATCTAATGTATGTGTCTAGTAAATGGATTGTTTCCAAAGTATGTCAAGAAGTCTAACAATGAAATAGAATTAATAAGCCAGTTAAAGGCTGATCCAAAGAGTTCCAGGCTGGAAAGGATAAAGCTTCCAGACCTGGCAGTGCTGGTCAGAGGGTCTGCAGGTGAGGCTCAGCTTGCTTGGCATCTGAGAACTCACCTTGTGCAATGCTGCCTGTGTTTCTGATAGGTGCTGTGGGACAATGGTATTGTACCCTGTAAATATTTGTCACTTATATTGTTTAAATAAATGCTGATTGGCCAGTGGCCAGGCAGGAAGTGTAGGTGGGGTGACCAGAACAGGAGAATTCTGGGAAGAGGAAAGGCTCACTCTACAGTCATCACCCAGACGCAGAGGAAACAATATGAGAATGCCTCACTGATAAAAGGTACCAAGCCAAGTGGCTAAAACAGACAAGAAATATGGGTTAATGTATGATGTAAGAGTTAGTTAATAAGAAAGCCTGAGCTAATAGACCAACCACTTTATAATTGATGTAGATCTGTGTGGTTTTTTTGGGGAACTGAACAGCTGCAAAACCTCTGCAGAGACAGAAACCTCTGTCAAAAGATAGGCCTTTGTTTCTTCTCGGGATAGTGAAGCTTTCTAAGCCACCCTGCCTGGGATGTTCATACAATGCTGTTTCTGGTGAATATCTGCCTTCTAGGTGGCTGTAATTTCAATAGCCATGCTTGTGTACCAGAGGTGCCTATATCACCAACCCAGGAAGGAACCCTGACTTCGAATCTCAAGCAGGCTCCCCGGGCAGAAGCAGTGTGCACTATTGTTTCATTTTGCTGTTAGAGAATGAGTGTGTTCTGGGGAACGCCTGCCCTGTGGAAGACGTCAAAGCCTGCACCTGGAGTCCTCCACCCACTCTGTGTCTTTGCCCCGCTCTGTCCTTTGGTTGCAGTAATCATCACCGTGGTATAGGTGCCCTGGAAGCCTGATGTCCTTCAAGCAGGTCACCCCAAGACACCTTATCAAAGGGAACATACCAGTGACAAGGGGTTGTGCAGAAAGGTCCAAACCTAAACCAGAATGAGACCTCGTGTCAACCTTCTAGAAGGGCTGAAGTCAGCCCAGCAATTCCACTTCCAGGAATCTACCCTAGAGAAATTAAAACAGATCCGCTCAGACCTGTGTGGGATGTGTCTGCAGCATTATTCATGTAAGTAAGATAAACAGCTCGTGTCCGTTTGGGCAAATGGAGAAACAAGTATCTTAAAACCACTCAGTCAAATACTTTGTTGGCTTTCCAGATAACAAATACCTAAGAAATCTAATAAAAAGAAGGCTTATTTGGGTTCAAAGTTTCAGAGATTCAATCCTTTGTTTTTGTTCTCTGACTGTGTATTTTTCAACTATGTCTGTCTGTCTTTTAAAACTACTTAAAATTCATGCCTGGTGGTGGTGGTGCACACCTTTAATCCCAGCACTTGAGACAGAGACAGGCGGATCTCTGTGAGTTTGAGGTCAGCCTGCTCTATAGAGTGAGTTCCAGGATAGACTCCAGAGCTACCGAAAAACTCTGTCTAAAAAAAAAAAAAAAAAAAAGGAAAGAAAAAAAGAAAGAAGGAAGGAAGGGAGGAAAGAAAGGAAGAAAGAAAGAAAGGAAGAAAGAAAGGAAGAAAGAAAGAAAGAAAGAAAGAAAGAAAAGGAGGGAGAGAGAGAGGGAGGGAGGGAAGGAGGGAGGGAGGAAGGAAGGAAGAAAGAAAGAAAAGAAGGAAGGATAGGAGGGAGGGAAGGAGAGAGAGAGGGAGGGAGAGAGGGAGGGAGGAAGGAAGGAAGGAAGGAAGGAAGGAAGGAAGGAACTATTTTAAATTACATTGATTTATTCAATGGGAGCACTGTGAACTATGCACGGTGTGTATACGGAGATCAGAGGACAGCTAGTGGGGGTTGGTTTTCTCTTTCCTCCATGTTTGTCCTGGGGATAGAAGTCAGGTCTTCAGACTTGACAGCAGTCATCTTTACCCACTGAGCCATCTCACTGGTCCTGTGCCTGCCTGCCTGCCTGCCTTGTAGCTTTCTGATTCTTTGTTCAATGTGATCTACTCTGCTATTGATAACATCTATCATTTTTTTAAATCTCATTTAGTGTACTTCTCAGTTCAAGGATTTCAGTTTTTAAATTCCTTCTATCTCTGTTTAATTTCTATGACAGAATATTGATTGTTGCTCTGTATTTCCTTGAAGTTCTTTGTGGTTCCTTAAGATAACCGTGTTGAACTCTTTGCCTAGGGGTGGGCATATTGATTGTTATGGTGTCAGTTTGGGGTGCCGTATTTTGTTGATTGAGCTGTTATTACCTCTAAAAAGTTGCTCTTTGTTGGAGCACATTGCCATCTGTGAACTGAAGGACAAGGCATTCATTGCAACTTCATCTGTACTTTTTCTTCCAGAAATTTTAAGCACGCAGCTTCTTTTCTCTTTCCCTGAGTGATTCCTGCTCTTGGATCCCAGGTTGGGATGCTGTCAGTATTTCAGCACTAGAGGGCATCCCAAGCCCAAGGTAGTCCCCCAGTCTAGCACTGATATGGTGTTATAAATGCACCAGGGGGATATGGAAGACCTCATCCATCCCCATAGGTCTCCACTTGAGGTCGTCATGGAACCAGTCTCATTCACGGTCACTGGCCTATGGTCAGGAACCAGGAGACTTTGCTTGACTCTGGACCTCACTGCAGAGGGATCAGCCTCAGGCTCTGTAACTTGGTGCTACTTTCTCTTCCCCACACATGGACAACTAGTCTGTGCTGTGCTGCCTGAATTCCAGGGTAAATAAATGAGTTATGCAGTTTGATAGTTACCGAGAACCCAGTGCTTGGTCATGCTCAAGAGCCACAGATCCTGAAGGCCAGCGCCATACAGAGTCAAGACCAGCTTCACACTGCTGTGACCTGCCTCCTGATGCGCGATGCTCATGACTCACGTTTCTGCAACCAAACGCAGGTGATTCAGCCAACAGAGAAGTCCATCAGGCTGGAGCGATAGGTCTCCCCTTGATAGGGTACGTCCTGAAGCCCTATCCATGAGCATTGGCCAGAAGATGGGACTCATTGGGATCTACCCAGGATTGGTTTCACCCACCCATATTAATTTCCAACCCAGAGTCCTGGTCCTGTGCTTACTTCTGTCCTGCTCCAGATAGCTGGGAGGTAAGATGCAGGTTTAGGACCACAGGGCTGAAAATCCAGGACTTACTTAGACAGGGTCACTAGCCTCGAGGCAAAGTCTATGGGTTCTGTTTGGTATCGGGTTATACACTGAAAGTCTGAGCTTAATTTCTGCTTGTTCCCCAAAGAGGAGACCTTCTCTTCCTATCCTCAGTCTGAGAAGCATCACCGGGGCCAGCATTTCTTTCTGCTTCCTTCAGTGTATCTTTTCTTAGAATGCTAAAAGCGATCCCTGTGATCTTAGCTCATGTGAAAGTTGCTTCGTGTGTGAGTGCTTGCTTGGGTTCGTGTTTCTGTGAGGAGACAATTACTCAAGGCCCTGTCATCTCTGCCTTCCAGGAAGTCCTGTGTTTAAGTACTTTAGTGTCTCCTCCATTTTCTCCCGGATAGAATACAGGTAACTTGTTTGTACTGACTCCAAGGCTGTCTGTTGGCCATCCTGAGCCACACTTCTTTCTTCCAGCTTTCCTATAGTCAGTGATATTTCATCTTGGAGCAACCAGCCTTAGCTCTGAGTTGGACAAATGCCCGTTCTTCCTTCAAAACTTGGTTTCCATGTTCAAACAATGAGCTTGAAGCACACTGTTAGATCTCTCTCTCACTAGACATCAGCCTTCTTATCATTGTGTCTCACTCACAACAGTGCCCTCAGCATCCAACTGGTTCCAGGCACCAGGAGAGCAGTCCATGGGGTTTGCTAAAGGATCCATAAGCACACAGTTTTGACAATCCCAAGTTCTTTCAGCACTGAACTCATAACTATGTGCCCAGCTCTTTGACAGGATGCTATGAGAAAAAGAGAATTTAAAGAAACGGTTACTGCCACAAAGCACAGACGGTCTTGCTAAGGGAGCCAAATCAGGTACATACAAGTACACACAGGCGGGGAAGATCTCTGTTCACTTGGGGCAGTGCAAGTCACATGATTGTGAGTACTCAAACAACCACGTTGAAACTAGGATGGGGAGGGGCAAGGAGATAGCTCAGTGGGTAAAGCATGGGGACCTGAACTTGATCCCCAGCACCCATGCAAAAAGCTTGGCTTGGCAACACATGCCTGTCATCTTCACACAGGGGAATGGAGACAGGAGGATCTGGGACTGAGTAGCCAACCCGTCTAGTTAATCAGTGAGGTCCAGGTTCAGAGACCTTGTCTCAAAATTCAAGATGGGGCGGGGGCAGAGAAGAAGACACCTGACATGACTTCTGGTGTTCACAGGAACATTCACGGGCATGCACACCCACTTATTTATGTGCACACATGCAAATACCACACACACACACACACACACACACACATTTAATTTAGATGTTGATGGGCACAAGAGAAGAAGGTGCATTTAGCATAAAGGATATAAGAAAATAGGACTTAGTTGTGAAGGCAGAGGGAAAAGCCACCAACTGGATACAGGAAACAGATGCAGGGCTTGGAGAACAGGCTGCGGTGAGATGGCAGAAGGTCACCACTGCCAGAGGGAAAAAAACAGACTAGAGTTTATAGAGGACATACATGTCAGACTCCTCAAACCTCCCTTGAGAGGATGACCCCTCTGAGATACCAGGTGGCTGAGATCAAACAGGCGGCAGTGGGCCTGCGGTTTCAATCCAGTCTAATTCTAAAACCCAGCCCTGGCCTTTCCCTGTGATTCTGTTAGTCACAAGTCAGAGCAGGAAGGTCATAGACAAGAAATGATCATGTGATATTTGGAGGTGGTCATTGTTTGACTCAGTGAACTCCTGGACTGCTCCTCATCTTTCCAGATGCCTGGGTGTTCTGCAGCCTGTCTAAAATCATGTTTGTTCCCCCATGGTTTCTGAGGAGATTGGAAAGGCCTGGGGCCTTAGCTTTACCCCATGCGATCGTGGCCCATCCCTCTGAGGTCAGCACCTCCTGGCCACGGTCAGCAGGACTCCCAGGGACTGCCTCCGAGGACTCAGTCTCCTGCTTTCTGGAAATCAATGTATGCCTGACTAGATGTCTCCCTTTTATCCCTTCATTGTATAACTCCACCCCAAGATCACACAAATATCACTCTGGCCGGATTTGTTCTCTTTAAATCTGGTCAGAACCTTACAAAGGTACATTAATTCTTAACAGCTTATAGATTTCCTTTTCTGCTTAGAATATATGCCCAGTGATTTCATTTTACATGGGATTCAGTTTCTACTTTCATATTGATGATGGCTTTCGAGGCTTGTTTCCTCTCTGTGGCTCCCTTCCACAGACTTATTTATCAGATCTGGCAGGCTAGGGTCCCCGTAGATCCTCATCTCACTGGAGAGACAACGGGTGGTTAAGATCAGAGGCTTTGAAACCAGACAGAGCTAGACACAAATTCTGACTCCAGTCAGCGCTGACTTTCCACCCATGTGACCTGCCTGGAACAAGTAAAAAAGCAAAACAAACAAAACCTCCCTCCAAACTTCATGCGCCTCTCAAGACCAAGCCCCTATAGTCTTGTCTTACCCAGAATTCTACAGCTGTGTGTGGTTAAGATTTGTGGCATCTGAAAAGCCCTTAACTTTGCACAAGGACTTTGGTCTTGTCTTGCCTCGTGTATCTCCCCACCTCGCCTCTTCTTTCAAGGGTCACTGCCTGCTCTTGCTGTGTCTTCCAAGCAGCAGTGAAAAGCCCATCCCCACACCCTTTATTAGTTTGAAAAAATGATCACATGACAGTCTATCTTATTATATTTACTGGCGTCTGTTTTGTTACTGGAATGAGGGTCTGAGTTTTCTTTTCTGCTTTCTCCTCTCTCCCTGTAGCCCAGGCTGGTCTTTAACTCACGTAATCTTCCCATCTCAGCCTCCTGAGTGCTGTGGTTACAGGAATAAGCCATCATACTCACTAGAGGTTTTTTTATTTTCCCATGTACAGGCAGAATTGCAGCCCTCTCAAAGGTGCTCAGGGACTAACCGTAAGACCTGCAAATCTGTTTCTGCTGTGGTTTGGATAAATATCCAGTAAAATTTGGGGTATTAAAAGCTTGGTGTCCAGAGTGGTATTTCGGGGAGGGAGTGAACCTCTGGGAAGTGTGGTCTCATGGGGAGGTCCTTAGATCATTGCTCTTGACAGCAATCATGATAGCATCCCTTCCTCATTTCTGTGCCTCCCGCTTGTTCTGCCCCATGCTCCTCATCATTGCTTCCCAGGATGCCCACCAGAGGCTCAAAGCCACTGCTCAGTCTGATGTTAGACTGGAACCTCCAACCCGTGAGCCAAAAATGTGTCCTTTGTCTTTCTAAGTTAATTATCTTGGGGATTTTGTTGCAGGGGTGGAAAGCTGCCTGACAGTTTATGACAGATCTGCAGAAGGGATACTGGGCACAATCATACCATGTGATTCTAAACCAGCCAGAGTGTTGAAAATGAAGAAGCTGGGGAAGGGAGCAATAGTCAGCATGTTGGGGTCATTAGCTAGACAATGTAGGTAACATCTAGAAGCTGGAGAGTGAGAAGCAGGCTCTCCCAAAGAGGCAGGAAGGGATGTACCTTGATTTTAACCCGTGAGATCATGTGAGATTCTGACCTTCAGTGTGGAAGATAATAAATGCATGTTGCTTTATGCTCAAAAGCACACAAGCCTTTGACTTTGAGAGAGACTTCTTAAAATGATACAACGTATCATGTTTACTTTAAATTCTTTGGAAAGTGGGGGTTGTGACAGAGAAGAAACAAGGCCGGCCATGCTTTGATTGCCATTAAAGCTGGGATGAATCTTTTTCTGGTTTGAATTTTTCCATAACTGTATAGTTTTTAAAACAAAAAGGGAGAAGGAGAAAGAACAGAGGAGAGAAGGGGACAGCAGAGATGGAGAAAGGCCCTGTGTGGCCTGTCAGAGTCTACAGAAATAAATGTCATGTGATTGGTTGAGAAGTCACAGGGAAGGCAGCAGACCCACCCTGTAGCCATCGTCTACACAGAAACACACACACACACCTTAGGTTATGATTCTAGGAATTGAATTGTAGACATGGGCATATAATTTTCACATTTGAATATGGTTGTGTGTGTGTGTGTGTGTGTGTGTGTGTGTGTGCACATGCCACGTGTATGGAGGTCAGAGGATAACGATCTTTCCTTCCAGGTAGGATCCCAGGATGGAATTTGGGTTATGTCTAGCTTGTGCACCAAGTGCTCACTCGCTGAGCCATCTCACTCACGTCTGAATATTGATACACTCACCAGTCAATGCCTTGAGGACCTCTTGATAAAGTCCTGTCAGCCCAACGCAGGACTCAGGAAAACAGTTTTGATGTCCGCCACCTTTTTCTTTCAAACATTAATCTTGAAGATAGCATGGTGGCAGCTGACCCTAGAGTTGGGTCATTCTCTAGAGTGTAACTTCAGAGATGTCTAGCCATGTTGCAAGTCCCCAAAGCAGGCTGAGCCCTTAAAGAGAGAAGCAGAGATACAATGTGAGAATACAGGACAGAGGGCCAAGCCACTGGTCCCCTGAATGAGGTGAGGGTCCTGGTGTGGAAGATCTGGCAGAGAGGATAGGATTGGTACCCTCCCTAGCATCTTGACAGGAGCATTTTCTGAGGGTGGACAGGGCCTCTGTATATCCCGTTGCCCTTGGGGACCTCTGTAGTTCCAACAGCTGAAGAAGACACTAAGCCAGCTGCTTGCTGTGCCCGTAGAAGGTGCCAAGATAGCCCACCTTATAAGGCAGGCATGTAATGAAGATCCCCAAGCCTCTGATGTTATCTCATGGAGAAACGGGTCGGCTGAAGAATGTAAAAGCATGTTTCCTCCTGGTCTTCAGAGGGAGGGCCTGGAGCTCCTCTGAACCCCTCCCCAGACCCCCCCATGGTCCTCCTCCCTACCCAAAACAGTCCAGGAGGGCTGCTTGCTCCCACTTGTCCCACTGTGTACATACAGCCATTGACTTGGCTGCTCTTGACCTTGGCACTCATTGGGTCTCCAAGAATTGGTTGTGAATCTCCACTCCTAGTCTTAGGGCTAGTGAGTGAAGAAAGCTCAGTTGGGGTGTCCTTGTATATTGCACCCTGCCATGAACAAGCCTGCCCCTTGCTTCCCCGGACTCCCTCCTCCTCTGCCCTTTCCTTCCCCCTGCATGCTGATCCTCCCCTGGACCCCCTCTTTGACTCTGCCTGTCCTGAAGCTCCAGCAAGAGCTGCCTCCTCAGTCAGTAGCCCCTGCCCTCCATTGATCTCCTCTGCTTACACATCCGTGGTAACCCTGCATCACACAGAAGGGCATCCCGCTCTACAGAATCCGACGAGCAGAGGCAGCCATCAGCCAAAGGATAATCACAGTGGTACCTGCAGCTTCCTTGGAACACCTTGCACTTCAGTTTAGTGGGTGGATCTTAAGATCCTGGAGTGGGGCAGAGGCCTGCAGTACCCCTCCCCCTTCTTTCACTCCTCTGGCTAACTCATAGAGGGTGTGGGTTTGCCCTCTGTGTCATACCCCTTATATCTCGTTCTTCGGGTCCCATCATTCTGAGGGGTAAGTACCCGTTTTACAAATGTGGAGACTGAAGTCAAAAGAGGCTAAGTAACTACCCAATATCCCTCAGTAAGACAGTGGCGTGGGTTATGTCAAAACAGGTGATCTGCCCTAAAGCCCACGCATGCAACCTGACACTGCTGCAAGACATCAGCTATACCCCCCAATAGGCTCATGTGTTCGCAGTCTTGTTTCTCCATTTGTAGAACTGTTTGGGAAGGATTAGAACGCATTGACTTGTCGGAAGATGTATGGTGTGGTGTGCAGGAGGCAGGCTTTCAGGTTTCAGGCTCCTGCCTTCATCCCCAGTACACTCACTCTGCTCTGGGTTATGAATATGAGTTTTCAGCTGCCTCCCCAGGTCCATTCCTCTGCTGTTGTGCTCCCCACCATGAGAGTAAGGGGCCCCTATCCAAAATAAACCCTTCCTTCTATACATTGCCTTTGTCCTGGTATTATCACAACAATAGAAATCCTAACTCAGTGGTTCTCAACTTTCCTAACCCTTTAATATAGTTCCTCATGTTGCAGTGAAACTATAAAATTATTTTTATTGCTACTTCATAACTATAATTTTGCTATTTTATGAATATCTGTGTTTTCCAATGGCCCTAGGCAACTCGTGTGGAAGGGTCATTCAACCACCAGGTTGAGAACCACTGCCCCACAGGGAGCCTCCTGGAATACCCAGAAGGGCAGGATTTTAGGGCACTAGAAAAAGAGGCAGAGACAAAGTAAACTAACTGAATGGCAGCTACGTGCTCAGCAAGCCAGCTCAGTGCAAAGGTCAAGAGAACAGGAGATGGTCAAAGTGGCCAGGAAGAGGAGTGGCCAGATCTGCATTCTCCCTGATGAGTAGCAGAGACCCGGAGCAGGACAGTGGGTAGAGGAACATGCCTCTGTCCAGAACAGAAGGTGCCACTCTGAGCACTGCAACAGACCAGGACTCACAAGCACACTGGGCTTTGGCATAAACCATTTCAGGAGCCTCATCTCAGGGCACAAAGGGAAGAGGCTGGAGAGGGTGGAAGTTTCGGAAATGTGAGAGGGCAGGAGAAGGACTTTAGACTTGTTGGGAGTGGGGGGTGGCTGAGGGACCATCAGTTCACATTTAAGCCTCTGGCCAGTCCTCCATCCCAGTGAGTCAGGATGACAAAGACGCTGTGTACTGGGGCTGCCTCTCATTCAGTGTCTTAGACTAGATGATTTGGGCCAAGGCAGGACCTATCCCGCGACTGACCACAAAAGTGACTTCTTACACTCTCGGGTTATGCAGGACTAGGACAGGCTGCCTTGGCTACCTAGCCTAGCTGAGCTCTGCACTAACTGGGGAGGAGACCCAGGGCCAGGATCTGGATAACAACCCACAACTTGAGCAGCCCAGAGCCTGGCAAAGGGCAGATGGAGACCAGGGCTGTGATGCCAATATAACTGTGGCCCTCAACCATGATGATCCCCAAACCCCAGAACTTGACAACATCTGGAGGCATCTTTGTGGAATTTTAGGGATTGGGGGCTAGAAGTGCTGCTGAAAATTCTCCAAGGTACAGGGTAGCTCTACATTCCAATAGATATGCATTCCAATAGAGCTGAAGGCCAGAAGCCCTGGGGGATAGCAAGAGAGTGAGAGATGCTAAAATCCCAACCTTTCTCCCAGAGGGGAGGACACTTTCCCCACCCCGAGAGAATGTGCTCTTTAGTCATTTAGCCAAACAGTACTGAGGACTGGAGGAGATGGTGATTCTACAGCTAGAAGAAAGCATACCACACCTCATTCCAAGGCTCCCAGGCTCTGATCTGTGCTGAGAACAATTTTAAGAGAAATATTTAATCTTTCGTAGGTCAAAAAGTCAGTCACTGTGATTATGCCATCTCGTTGTAGCACACAGGTGGCAGGTGAGGTGTGATAAATGTCTTCACTGCTACTGTTGCCAATGGCAGCAATGATCAGAAGCCACGGAACACGCCCACCCCTTCCCCCACCCCAGCCCTGCCGCAGGCAAACAGGAGCTGAGCTGGGTAAGTAGTGGAAGCCTACAAAACAATGGGGATTCATTCTCTGCACAGGTATTGGAAAGGGCACAGAATATAAATGAAAGAAGCCAAGTGCAGAACTAAGGGGAGGGCTATGTTCGCCTTCTGTCGATGGAAAGGAAACCACAGCAGCCCACAGAAGAATGACAGTTCACACCTGCAAGAAGCCTTGGGTCTCCGACCACGGGGCATGGGTTCACCTGGAGCATTTTCTCATCCAATGCACCTTTAATACCACCAACTTTGCTTTATTTCGTGGGAAAGCCGTGGGCAGTTGTGCTGCTCTTCGTCCCCAGAGTTAAACAGACCAGCTATTCCAAACCGTTCAGGACACTGGCATGGAGCTTTGGACAAAGGCCTGGAAATGACCTCTTCCTTAATGGTAAACCCGGAGGAGACAAGTTCTCAACTCTCCAGAGAGGTCTGTGGTTGAGAGTTCCTGACGTTTGAAGAACTCCCAGGGGGGATCCCGGTGAGAATCCAGGCGCCTGAAGGACTCCCAGGAGGGTACACAGAAATTAGGGCCAATAGCAGCTCTTCCCCTTCCACATCTCCTCTTTCTGGCTTGGGAAAATGAAAAGAACAAATGCAAGGTCTGAACCAGAAGGTGGCCTGCAGCAGGAACAAACCTAGCACCGCACCTTCCTTGCCCCCCCCCCCCCCGGAGTCCCCGCCCCTGCCCCTGCCCCCGCCCCGCCCTCGTACACTGGGAGGAGGGAGGATTACAATGGATCCTCCTGCGGGCTTTGTGCACGCTTGGAATCCAGCTGTCACCGCCCCGCAGAGCCCCGAGTCCCCCCGAGGGCGCCCATTTCCGGGCCGCCCATCACTCGGAGTGCTTTGGCAGCCAGCGTCCAGGCCGAGCCTACAGCCACTCCCGCCTTCTCGGTGTCCGACCACCCCCAGACCGTCCCCAAAATGCCTGTGGACTTCAATGGGTACTGGAAGATGCTGAGCAACGAGAATTTTGAGGAGTACCTGCGCGCACTCGGTAAGCGCGGCTTGAGGTGCGCAATCCCGGGCTCCGTGCAGACCCGGTCACCCCGAGCCCAGAGTTCGGCTGCCGCTGCCAACTAGCGAGCCTGAGCTGTTAGGGTTAATTGGTGGCAAGAGTCCATTAGCTGTCCCTGGTGACAGATAATTCAATTAGTAGAACCGGGTTAGCTTTGTTAGTTTTGTTTTTAAAAGGCTAGCGAAACAAAACAAACCAACTAAACAAAAAGTTTATTTTCAAAAGAAAAAGGGGGCGGGGGAGCACAGAAGGCCCTCAAAAGCCGCGCAACTTGAGCAAGGAATCTCAGCCTTGTTCCTCCGTGCGATCACTCCCGAAGCTGTCTAGCTAGGAAACGTCCTTTTCCGTTTTCTTTCCTTTTTCTTTTCTTCGTCTTCTTCTTCTTCTTTTTTTTTTTTTTTTTTACAACTCTAGCTATCTCTCTGCACCCCTTGCAGATGTCAACGTGGCCTTGCGCAAAATCGCCAACTTGCTGAAGCCAGACAAAGAGATCGTGCAGGACGGCGACCACATGATCATCCGCACGCTGAGCACTTTTCGGAACTACATTATGGACTTCCAAGTTGGAAAGGAGTTTGAGGAGGATCTGACAGGCATTGACGACCGCAAGTGCATGGTGAGGCCCCGCGAGCCCTTGACAATCGCCTACCCTGGGGTTCTGTTCCAGAGCCGGCTAGTTCATCGGGAGGGAGCAATGATCCTGTGTTGGGAATGACTGCAGAACCTCCCTCCCAGCCCCAGGACCCCAGGGTAGGCAAAAGCCACTCTTCAAATGCTGGTGGCTGGTGGTGGCAGCTGAGAAGGTTCCAGTTCAGTGAGTCTCCATGGTATTCAGGCTCTACCAGGTGCTCAGACACACGTGGAAGCACCAAAGCTCATCCTAACTGTGAGGAGATAGAAGCTCATCTATTTTACAGATAAAATTGACTATGAATCGGGTAGAGTTGTGGGGAGAGGGCCTGGGATTCCCAACAAGGCCTTGAACTCTTTGATAGGGAAAAGGAAGAAAGGAAGAGAAAACACAGGGACCTCTCCAAGCATAATTTCCCCAGTGGTCTAGTGTGAAGTCTCTGTAGGGAGCAGGGGGCCTTGGCCTTTGCTGGAAGTACCCTGGCATGCTGCTCTTGCTGCAAAGCTGGGATTTGGCTCTGGCTCACCCTGATACCTACTGAGCCCTGAACTTCCTTCCAACCTTTCGCCCAATTCCTAAATCTATAGAACAGTGCCCAGCATCCAGAGCTAGAAGAAGAAACAGTAAGGATACAGGAAGGCCCAGCCCCTGCTTCCTAAGAGTGGGAAACTAGTGACCCTCAGACCCCAATTAGCAATGCCCCAGCAGACTCCGGAAGGTCAGTCTCAGGCCGCCATCCCCATTTGCGGGGGTTTCTGGGAGGCCACGATGTTCCTGTGCCTCTTGTATTGTCTTGGGTCCAGACCTCACTTGTGCCTGCTCCCAGGCGCTGCCTTGTTTTGCAGGAGCTCGCTGTCCTTCCTCACTTGTCAATGGCTGTCACCAAACTGCTGCACTAGGTCACCACAGCTCAGTGAAGGGGCAATTGCGAGCTCCATATTAAACCAGTGACTAAGGGGACGAAACTGCAAGAGCCTAGATTTGAACCTTCTTATGCTAAAGGCCACACCCTACCCTACACTCTGTCAGGCTCCTCTGTAGACAGGCATATAAACTCTTTTCAAAACAGGCTAGCTAAGTTCTCGAGGACTGTGGCTGAAGAGGGTTAGGAGCCCCGGGAAGACTACTCAGCCTGACCTGCTTTATTCTTTGGAAAGCTGTTGGACCAGTATCTTAGCCTGCTGTTGGGAATGGTGGGAAGAGAGCAGCCAGTAAGCTCCCTGGGAGGGAGAAAGCTGCTGCTGGAGACAATGCCATGCTCTAAAGAAGAGATTCTCAACCTGTGAGACCCCCTTTGTCACATATTTGCTATCCTGCATGGCAGATATTTACATTACAATTCATAACAGTAGCAAAACTACAGTGATAAAGTAGCAATGAAATTAATTCTATGGTCAGGAGGTCACCACAACATGGGGAGCTGTATTAAAGGGTCACAGTGTTAGGAAGGTTGAAAACCACTGCTCTAAAATCTCAGGCACCAGATGCTTACAGTCAGAAAGGACACCTTCAAACAGGGTCTGCCTTCTCTCTATTGCCCAAGACTGCTTCCGGGCCACTACATAGAACTCTGCTCCGCACTTCAGTTCCCTCTTAGGGGTGCTAGCATAGCACATCAGATGTGTCTTCATCTGGGATCACTACAGTTCTGAGTGTGCTGGCTTACACTTGATTGATTATTGTTATTGATCACCTAGTAATACTAGTGAGTAGTCACTGGGTGTCTACTGTGTGCCTGGTGATACTATAGTGTACATGAATTCACCAATTCTTCATCAACTTTATACACAGGGTTTCTTCCTGGGTTAACCTCAGAGTGGGAGTTCCCTGCAAAACAGTGGAAGAGTCTGAATGAGCAGTCTGCCTCCCTTGGATGTGGTTGGGACACGAGGCACATATGTACGTGTACACACACACACACACACACACACACACAAAAGCAAAGCACCGTCCTTGACATCTAAGAACACACAGTTTTGCGCAAGACAGACTCTCAGAGGTCATCACAGCATTTGTGTGCCAGAAAGACAAAGAGAGTCAAGGCAAGTCGTGGGGCGGTTAGGGGGATCCTGGGGTACTGGGGGGGGGGTCCTTTCTGCATTAGTTAGAAAGGGATGAGAGATGCGGGGAGGATTTGGAGCACAAAGGAAGGGGCAACAACCACCTTTTCTTAGACCGTCCTAGTAGGTGAACCAGGGAGGGATCTAGCCACAGGCTGAACTGGGAGATACTGGGGGATGCTGGGGCATTCTGGGGGATGCTGGGCTGGTGTTCCTGTTATCTTCACTGCTGCAAGACTTGTTGGCAACACTCTCTGGGAGGTGGGATTGTTATCAAAGTTGGGGTCAGAGACAGTTCTCACTACCTGAAAGATAGACAGGAAGCAACTGTAACCAGCCAAAGAGGAAAGGAATGAAAGCAAGGCCAAGGGCAAGACAAGTGTCTGACCAAAAAAAGAAAAAGTTATTTCAGACCTGTTTCTTACTGGGTTCTGAGCTCGACCTGGGGAGCTGGCTTCCTGGGTGCCTAGGGCAGTGAAGGAGGGAGATGCATCTGTATCTGTGGGTCCTTGCAGACCCATGCTTGATAGAATCACAGAGGACTGAGGCAGAGAGCTGGGGCTAAGGGAGCTATGGTTACGGAAGGCCTCCAGGAGGGGCCGCCTGAGCAGGGTCCTGAAGGACGAGGTGGGAAGGAGGCAGAGCAGACAGGCGCAGTGAAGCAGGGCACTCAGAAAAGCGTCGGTGAGAAGCGGCTATCAGTGAGAGACCCGGTACTCTGCAAGAGCTTGTGTGTGGCTGGGGTTTCAAAACATGACAGAGGGACAAGGGGTGATGAGAACCTGAGAGAGGACCTAAATATGACCTGACAAGCCAGCCAGGTGGGTTCAGGCTCACATTCCTCTACACAGGGCCAGAAGGCTGCTGGTGCAATGTCTCTGTTTCTTCTTCTTCCATGGGAATCTCATCTGTATTCAGAGTGACAGCCAGAAGATGGAATTCAGCCTGCAGATGTATTTTGTTTGGCCTGCACAGTGTTTGAGCCAGTTGCCAGTGAGGGCCAAGGAGTCTAAGATTTCATAGGGAGAAAAAAAAATTCTATGCCTGACTGTTCTTACAAAACAAAACGCCAAGAGCTGAAAACCCCAAATGTGCACTCTTGCTCCACGGTGTAGGTCTCTCACCAATCAATACTGCCTTTACGTGAGCAGCTTGCCACCATCCTTCCCCACCTTGGTACCCCAGGGTCAAGTAGCCCTTTGTCTTGTTTACTCTGTAGCTCCTGCTTTGGAATAAGGCAGCATCTCTTTACTTGTGCCTGTATAAAAAGCAGAAATCAGGTGCAAAGGACCATAGGCCACTGGCTCTAATATACCTCACCTGCCGCCCTGGACGTGGTGAAACGCCCTAGAAACATATGAGCAGTCTGAGTGGCTCTGGAGTCCCTAGCCCACCATTTCCAGTCTGGTCAGTAGAGATCTTTCAGGACCACAGGACAAGCAGAGGCCTTAGTTCTGGTAGATGTAGTCCATGGTCTCCTTTGTCCATATTGTTAGGTACCAGACAAGACCGACCATGAGCATCAGATACAATTAACCTACAGGGATTTCTCAGGGTGGGGCTC